TGAACCAAAGGTAGAAACTAAGAAGGACTTAGTTTTAGTGGATTTAGGCCAAAGCCAAAAATCATTTTGGTGATCTTCACTCATTTATTCATTAAAACTGGGCACTACTACCCATACTTTTTATCTTAAAAATCAGCTCTCTTATATCTATGACCCACTTTAGAAAGTGCTAGTCTTTAAACATAGTAGCCAAAATAAATGCTTTCACAGTTCACATATTCACAACTGTTTCTCCTCCAAGCCACAGAAATTATGCAATTCTGTGAAATGAATAGGACAGATAAAATCATGAAATATATAGTGTTAGCTCCTATTAATTTGACAGATATAAATACAAAAACTTAAATATTACAATTTTCAAAGCAACATTTCAAAATATGACCAGCAAAGTGATTATTTCATTGCAAAATTAAAGCTATACTAGAGAACTCAATAAGCTTGATTGACACAATAACATTCAACTTCACTAGAAAAAATTTCACCTTCTACTTTAGTTTCTCTGTGAAGCAGAAGCTAAAAAAGGTTCCTCAAATGTTTTATTTACTGGCCAATTTCTAGACGTCTGTGCTCAGCTTGCACAATAACAAGCTGAGGCTATTAAGCCATACATAAAGATCCCACTTATTAAAATACAAATTAGGCATCCCTTATGTTTATACATGTGTAAGTACAATTAATATCACAGGCTTAGTTGAAAACAAAATTGCTTTATTTAACCAACCATTGCAATGCAATCAAATGAGATTTCAGTTGCAATTGGAAAAGATCTGTTCTCTAGAAATAACAGCGATGATTTCATGTGGAACAATTAGTTTCCCAAGCTTTTTTTTCCTTCTCCCACCTGCCCTTAACAAAATAATTTGTCCATCACAAGTGACATAAAATGTCACCTTTAACACCCCTAAGTTGTATGGAGACCTAAAAGGCAGCTGGTAGACACAGCCTATTTACAAATATTGGTTTGAACTTGTCAATGCATGACCGCATAAATCTTAATCCATTTAGAGTATATGCCCTTTGTTCCCTCAGTCTTAATTCAACTGGGAATTGAGGGAAGCTCAGGGAGAGGATGAATGACACCAGCCCTTTCTTGTTGCCAGAATTTCAGGGCTTTGCCTTTTATTCTTGTTGTTCATGAGATTTCTCTATGTTATACAGTAGGGAATGTTAATCAACATTTTGCTTAAGTAATATTAATGAAACTTGCCTACTTATATTTGAGGGAAGAATCAGAATATTACATTTCTTTTTGAAATGTTAATGTACCTTTAAGAAAATTATTTCTGCCTTCTAAATCATCCTAGTGTTAAATTATTAAAGGATAGTATTAAAGAAAAATTGCATTGATGCTAAGAGTTAAATACTTTAAAAGGTAAAAGGAATGTAAAGTTTAAAAGGAGAGGCTTTTGAACTATGACAGTGTAAAATTTACAATTGTTTTGTGTGCGCTCACATAATAGAAGAAATTTGATCACGATGATCTCTAATTTCCAGCCAGGCATTTGCATTTTATTTATTTTATGACTTTGAACATTTGTTTAACTTCACTAGCTATGTGCACTGAAGCACCTCTAATTTACCAGGAAAAAGAAAAAGTGTATCATCTTTTTGCAACATTTTCTGATAGGAGCCTAAAGGTTAGTCAATCTCCAAGTCAGATCTTACTCTTCAAACATAAAATCTCCACTACCTCAATGTTCTATCCCCATGTGGTAACAAAGGAAAGAGCTATTGTAACAACTATGTATCTCAAATGGCTAGATATGGAAAATATCTTTTCTCAGGATGCAGACTGTGGTAGGTAAGTGCCCTGTGAACAATGATGACAGTCCTTCAAGCGGTACTCGGGAAAGAAGTTCAGAGACTTCTAACATAGCCTAACTTGTTGTCCCGTTAACAGTCTCTTATTTTATCAATCAATATATTTCTAGATCCTAAACAAACTATGCGGTATCCAGAAGGAAATTAAGAATGGAATTGGTTCAGGAATTTTCTCACATAGCGCCTACCATTTCCTAAGAAGACACTCTCTGGATAAGCTCCTTACTTTCTAACTAAGAATATAAAATCTAGTAAAGGCTTTTATATCATGAGGGACTGATTTGTCCTCTTAGAAGTCTTTCCTAGTAACACTTCTTAGATGTAGTCACTGAAAGAGTCATTGAGAGTAAGTGATGTGAATAGTAATTCAAGGTAAGTTTTCCTGTATTTTAACATCTAACAAGTACTAAAATAGCTTAAATTACGGGAACTTCGTAATTTAATTGACAACCTTTTGTTTCCCTTACCAATAATAAATGAAAAGCAGCCTTACCATGTATGGGAGCTTTAATTTTATAAACTATGGTAACAACTAACAAGCATTACGATTTTTTGTGCCATCACCAGTGGTCACTATTACTTCTGTACTAAGAAGTAAAGCATTGCCAATATGTTCATTTTGTGTTAATAAGCCTCATCAAAGAGCTTATAATATACCTGGGAAGAGAGCTTTACAGCTAGAAAAATATAAATCTAATAATTATATCGATAATGATATAATAATTAAATAAAAACACCAATGATGTACTAGGTATTTATATATCCCTAATTGCCAAGTTACTCTTTACCACATTATTTCTCCTGAACTTTTTTAAAAATCATACCACTCATAAGTTACAACCTGACATATTACTAAATTTCTTTAATACAAAGAAAGGTTCTTATGAATAGCAATAGAATCGACACATGGCAGAAACTGACTTGTGAGAACTTAATGATTGTTTGAGTTCTAGAATTATTCAAGAATTAAACTCAAATAGCACCACCTGTTTTATGTTACTCTTAGAAAGAACGCACAGTTTGAATTTACATCTTCTTTCCCTATATGCTACATTTATTATGCCACTTTTATGTTGGGGTAAGGGTAAGGAGAGGACTAATTTTCACTTAAAATTTATTAATCAAAAAGATATTTATTTGGGAAAAATATTTTGACTGCTTTTTGCCTGCTGGAGAACAATCATCTAAAAGCAATTAATTACAATGTATTGGACAAGCTTATAATTTATCCTCAATACCCAAGAGGCTTGTGCTTTTAACTTTATTACTGACTTTTCCTTTAAATACTATGGATGATAAATTGATATTTCTTAACTACTGATGACTAACAATCATGACCAAATCAGTAGCACCAACAAATCATACAATACAATCAATATAGTGAAAGAATTAAACAAATTATGAATAATTAAAGAGTCTCCAGTTAATAGGCAATTTAATCTATTTAAATTAGGGATGCCTTAGTGCGCAGGGGATTATGACTCAGCACTGTGAAGTTATTGGAATCCCCTGCCATGTAGGTGACCCACATGGTACAGCAGAACTCTTCCATCTCACCTCCCCCACCCCGCTCCTGTCAGCAGTGTATTTCAGTCAGTCTGCCTATTCTGCTCCCCACTTTGTCTCTGGTGAATCCTTTCACTCCCATACCTGTGGTCTACACCCGAGCTCTTATATGTATAAAATAAATCTTTTTTAAAAATTAACTTGTTGGAAAAGATAACACAATCAAACACTATCAAGAAGCATGAAGCACGGTTTATTTATTATCACAGATTATATGTTATAGTATATATTGTAAGTAAATGAAATATTGCATTTTCCTGTGATATACAATATAACCCTACAAATACCAAGTAAAAGTGCTAATTCCTAAACTGTGGTTTGATGTTCTACTGAAGCATAACTTTCTTTCCTTTGAGACTTTCATTTTGCAAAGTAATCAAAACCAATTTCAGGAGCACAATCAATATGTTATTCTCACTCTACTTTAAGGTATCAAAAAATATACACAAACTACTATCAGCTTGTATTTGTAAAAGTAGGCTGAAGAGGCCCTCCCTGGTGGCGCAGCGGGTTAAAGCACTGCACTGAGAAACTAAAGCCACTTCCGCATGAGTTCGATCCCCGCCTGCCCCGGAGGTGACCACATGGCGTGGCAGACCTCTCCTGACCCGCCCGCTGCTCCCCTCAGCAGTGTACTTCGTTGATCTGCCTGTTCTGCTCCCCACTCTGTCTCTGGTGAATCCTCTCACCCTCCGCATCTCTGGCCTGTACCCCAGATCTGTATGAATAAAAAAAAAAAAAAAAGTAGGCTGAAGAAAAAAGATTACTTCTAGTAAAGTGGAACAAATTAAATGTGTTAATTATTTTTATTGGGACAATGGTGATTTACACCACAGTGTATGCCTTAGAGGTACAAGCTTACTGAATGTTATTCCACAACAGCTGCCACCAAAGCCCCAGTAATCTCCAATAGACCTCCCCACCCCTGCTTTGTTCCCACCCCACCACATCCCCCTTCTGGTAGAGTTTGTTCTAGTCCAATGTGCTCTTCCCCTGCCTGGCTACACCCCTCTCCCACTTCCTCTTCCCTTTCTCCCCTCATGGATGCCTCAGATCTAAGGTCAGTTTCATGATTTGTCTTTGACCTTTTGTATGGTTTCTCTATATTCAAGTATTAAGTGAAATGAACTCACTTTATCTGTCCTCTTCTGACTTATTTTTCTGATCACAATCCCTCCAAATTCATCCATGTTGAAGCAAATGACATGAGTTTATCTTTTTTGAGATGTTAAAGCTTCATGCCTGCTCACATTGCACCATCACCAGATTATAGTATGCATATCACATCTTGCAAACTCCAAGTTGCTCAGTGCAACTTCTTTTTCAAGTCATCATCATAACATGTACAAAGATGATTCAGAGATTATAACTTAGTTCTAGATGTGGGAGAACATTACTTGAGAATTTTTGAAAAATGGAATATAATATGCAAGGACATTTCAACTACTTGGCTTTTGAGATTACTCAAAAGCTCCTACCAAAATAAAAAAGTACAGATTTCTGTTATTCCATAACAACTTAAGTTTCCATTACTAAAAAATATCCCAACATACTCCATTATCTAACTCTAACAGTCAATCTACTTAAATGAATCAGATAGAAAAGGTTCTTACTGCAAAATCCTCCCTCCACTGGTGGGCTGCTTGAACTTTCTCTGCTTCCAGAGCCAGGCGCTGAAAAGAAAACAATAAACATTAGAATTCAAATGGCTACATGAATATGTAATCACTTGTATAGAGTGCTTGAACTTTCAAATTAATTATGAGCACATAAAATGCAGAAGAGACTTCTTATTTATGATTCATAACTTTTAAATCATTTAGTAATCTAACCTGTTGAAGATGATGCATCATGTTTACTCTTTAGTGATCTAATAACATACTCTTCTTGACATCTGTCATCATCGCAGTGGTATCTCCATTCAATGACCAATATTTTAGTTTTCAAAAAAAAAGCTTTAATAAATATAGTATAGTCATCTTGATAAAAATCTTTTTAGAAAATGCCTTCATGTATCTCTATGTTAGTGTGCAGAAAATGACACTGGATCACTAATAAATAGATGTTTTCCACCATACCATGTGCCTTCTTAACAGCATGTTTATTTCTTACCAAAGTCACACAAATATAATAGCTTCACTTACATATAAAATGTTAAAGCACATCCTTAATTGTTCTTTCAGTGATAATCTGAGACTAGAAAATGTCACAATCTGCATCTCTGAAAATGACTATTTCTTCTTTACGTCTCTTCATTTCTATGTGCTAAGGTAACTAGATAACCCTAAACTGGCTTATTTTGCTATAGTATTTTTGTTCCATTAGAATCAGCTGAAGATAAACTATGTATTGCCAGTGTGCTAGTGATTTGCTTAGATAATTTCTTCCTACTCTAGTAGTTTTTCGATTTTTTTCCTGTGTATGTCCAGTGTCATATCATGTTCTCCATGTAATCAGGCTTTACATGAGACAGTTATATTTATGAATAAGAACACAGACTAGAAACAGGACTGCCTGAATTTAAGTCACCCATGTTAATTACTAGTGATGCAAAGTTGAATCTCTTCTATTTTCTCATATGAAAACTGGCCTCATGATTGTTGAAATGATTAAATGAGCAATTATTTATAAAATGCTTAGAACAGTGCCAGGCAGACAGTTAGAAATCCGAACCGTCTAACTCTGAAGAGTAATTATGATTGTGTTTACCCTCTATGTCCTTTTACAAAAATAGCTCAGTGTTGAGTACATTTCTGGCCTGCTCCCCAGACACAGCTAAAAGACAGTAGCAGAAATAGGAAAGTAGAACAGCAAACTCACTAAGAGGCAAAAATGATCAAATTAGGTTTTAGAAAATTATATATCTGATGGTGGTTACAGGTTTATGTTTTTGAACTTTCACTAGAACTATCAAACGTGCTTTTTCTGAATGTTCACACCACATCTGATAAACCTATGTGTAGGAAGCTGTCATGTTAGAGTATTCACTTCTTTTCACTTTTACTAAATATTCAAATCTGTTCACTTTCTAAACTACCACATATGTATAACCAGTGACAATAAAACATTGCTTAACCAGAGAGCTTTATGTAATAATCCCAAAGCTGAATCTAAAGAAAATATTTGTAGTGTCTTAAATGATAATAATTTTGCTTTATCAGATATTAGGCAGAAATAGCTATAAGAGGAGCTTGTAATTTTAGAAATTAGACCAAAGAAAGCAGTCAAATGAAGTTTATCCCTACAAAAACAAAATTTTAAACAGAGAAAAAACAAAGAAAAATACATTTCTATAATACTGTATCACAACACCATTGGAAACTCACATCTAATGTGAAAATGTACCAAAAGGAAAGTGAAACTGTAGCAATTTCTTTATGGAAAGGTTTATGGGAAGATATAAGTAAAAACAAAATAAGAAAATGAACATGAAAGTATATTATTGACAAAATTCAAAATGTGAAGGCTTCATTCATTTTTGACAGGCAATATAGAACACATCACATTATAAGGTCAAAATAAACAACTATTTTGTGGACTTAACAAGATTTTTTTTTCTTTTTTTTAGATTAAGAAGCGACAACAGGGCCCTCCCTGGTGGCCCAACGGGTAAGGGTGCAGCACTGCAAGCTAGCCGCAGCCACTTCCACTTCAGTGCTAACTCAATCCTCAGCCCTAGAGGTGGCCCACATGGCGCAGCAGACCTCTCCTGACCTGCCAGCTGCTCTCCTCAACAATGTACTTCATCGATCTGCTTGTTCTGCTCCCCAATCTCTCTGCTTGTTCTCTCACCGCCCCTGCTCCTCTGGCTTGTACCCCAGTTTCGTATGCATAAATAAATAAATCATCAAAAAAAAGAAGCCACATTCTCTGAAATGTCTTTGTCTTAAACAGATTAATATCTATTTAAGATTTTTCTTGCACCAAGGAAGATATTGCTCTAACAAACAAAACATACAAGGGTCCATTCATTCCCCCTCCAGGACTATACACTGTTTTCAATGCACCAACATTAACCACCAAGCTGTTTGCTCTGGAGAAATAAAGAAGTGCAACTTAACTGATTCGACCCAAAATCACATGGCTGGTGAACATTACCCATGCTTAATAAGCCATGCTGACATAATTATCAGTTAATTATTTCTTGAGAAAAATGAAAGAGGAATGAACAGTGACAAAATAGTCTAAGACAGTTCTTCTGGGAGGAGTGTACGAATCAGTTTCATTTCACATACATATGTGTACAGGGTTTTGTGTGTGTATGTGTACATGTATGTGTGTGTGTATAAAACACATTAATGCTATTAAGTGAAAGCCATTTATTGCAAGAGCCTAAAATTAGTTTTAGAAACCTAAACCTATAGAGTTAGATCTTGTATATATATGTATTTTAAAAAGTTGGTTTGAAGCTCAAAGGTTGCTAAACTTTATATCCTCTCTGAAAAACATAGATACATGTGGCTATTATCTTCTTTGTTTAACAGCAAACTGTAGATGCTCAGTCTGTCTTGAGGACTAGTAAAAACAGTTGCTGATGGTGCTCTTGGCAAAAGACCAGTTCATCATAACTTAAAGAAAACTGACACGACTTCAAGTCCCTCATTAACTTCTATTCTGGTCAAGTGATATTTTAATTTTTTAAAGCCAACAGTGTACCATCAAAGGCCCCTGGCAAATTATATTAAGACTGACAAAATTCCCACCCACAGAGCAAAATATGAATATTTTCTCAGCAGACCATCCTTATTTCTATAGTTGACTAGAGAAGTAACAGTTAACTTTTGTCAGAAAAATAATGCATTATTCTCATTTAATTTATAGTAGATTATACAGTATCACACATTAAAAACTGATTGGAAAAAAGATAGAAATATAAAACTCAGATCACCATAAATCCCGATATGAGAAAACTGAAAGTTAATGCTGCTTTTATTAAGATTATCAAGAAGGATGAAATAAATAGCTTTATAATCAAACAGTGAGTGTATATAAGAAAATGTACGAAGAAGTAAGTATTGACACAGTGCCATACATGTACTAATTAGGCACACATTTCATGTGGCAGAGTATTTTATGAACTCAAGTTGAACAAATGGTCTTCAACTTAAGTCTTCTCACTTGAAAATTTACGCTATAAAACCAATCCTAAGCCCTGCCTATTGGCACAGCAGGTTAAAGTACAGCACTAAGAAGCTATAGCCACTTCAGAATGCATTCGAACCCAGCCCACCCTGGAGGTGACCCACATGGTGCTTGCAGACCACTCCTGACCAGACCACTGCTCCCCTCAAGCAGTGTGCTTCAGTCGGCCTGTTCTGCTCCCCACTCTGTCTCTGGTGAATCCCCTCACCACCTCTGCACCTCTGGCCTGCACCCCACTTTTGTATGCACAAATAAATAAATCTTAAAAAAAAAATCCTTAGGTCTCCACTGGACCCAACAAGGATTAACATCACTAGGCTTTCAGTATTATTAAAACCCAAACTCCCAGTAGAAATCTACTTCAGACTAAAAAGTTTCCCAGAAAATGTATAGAAATTGTTAAAGATTATAAATAAGTACAGCACACACACAACAGTAATCACATCAGGTTAGAACTATCTTTAGATAAGTCCCCCCCAAGTCCTCCGAGAATGCTTCTAGTCATTGGAAAGGCTTTTTATATGCAGTGGTGGGCTGAGAGAAAAAAGAAAACAGAGAATGTGAAAGGTTTTATGAGATCAAAGAAAGATCAGCTCCCTGGAAGGCCTATTCATTCTCAATCTTCACTTTCTGTCATGTCTTTATCTCTTTCACTAGCACTGAATTGTCAGCTGATATGAAAGTCTAATAAAAGCAGTATAATCATATAGTGTCTAAAAAATAATTTATCATCCTCCTTAATAATACCTAAATACATTTTCTCTTAGGAAAGGAAAAAATTCAAAATCTGTAAGTAGTTTGTTTTCTAGATTGTAACTTAATTGCAGATAAAATAAGCTTTCTGAAATACTTAATTATAAAGCATTGTAATTTCATAGCTTTGAAAGAAAATCTTCAGATGTCATCTGACAGTTCGGTGAAGCCCCAAAAGTGTTGGTATCCAGGTTAACATAAAGAATTGAGGGGTGGGGCCATCCCTGGTGGCGCAGCGGATTAAAGCACAGCACAAAGAAACTTAAGCCACCTCCAAATGAGTTGGATCCCCACCTGCCCCGGAGGTGACCACATGGCATGGCAGACCTCTCCTGACCCGCCCACTGCTCCCCCCCCAGCAGTGCACTTCGTTGATCTGCCTGTTCTGTACCCCACTCTGTCTCTGGTGAATCCTCTCACCCTCCGCATCTCTGGCCTGTGCCCCAGTTCTGTACGAATAAATAAATCTCTAAAATAAATAAACAAATAAATAGAAGAATTGAGTGCTGTAATCATTTCAAAGAAACATTTCTTAATCTGAAGCAATTTATTTGGCTAACATGTGAAAAGTCTTTTATAAGTTAATAGATAGCAACAATATGCTAACTGGAGAAAATACATATTACATAATTGAAGTTCAAGTAGTTAACATCCAATCTGAATTAGCAAATTATTGCATTTTCAATAAAGTTCAACTTTATTTTTACCATAAATGGAATGAGAAAGGAGAGCTTATTATGTTCTATATTCTCACCTTATTTATTGAAATATATAAAAA